TAATCCTGCGGCTTTAACCGAATTACATACCGATGCTAGTAGTCATGGATTTGGAGCAATACTAGTACAAAAACAAGCTGAAAATTATTATGGGCCAATAGCATATTTCAGTAAAGCCACTAATGATGCTGAGAGAAATTATCACAGCTTCGAGTTGGAAACCCTAGCAATTGTAAAAGCAGTGGAACGATTTCACGTATATTTACAGGGAATCAAGTTTAAAATTGTAACGGATTGCAACTCCTTAGTGCTAGCTATGAAAAAAATTAATATCAATCCGCGCATTGCTCGATGGAGTTTGATTCTCCAAAATTATCAGTTCGAATTAATACATCGCGAGTCAAAAAGAATGCTTCACGTAGATTGCCTTAGCAGAAATGTAATGACAATTAACGCAATTACCGTAGAGGATGAGCTGATGTATAAACAATTATTGGACCCGGAGCTCAAAAAAATCGCGACAGAATTGGAGTTTAAAGAGAATAAACATTTTACCATCATTAATGGGTTGCTTTTCCGGAATTATCAGGACAAACGATTGTTTGTTATACCAGAAAATATGATTAGTAACATAATTCGCATCTATCATGATAACATGGGGCATGTAGGTATTGATAAAACTGTATACGGTATATTAGAACATTATTGGTTTCCTTGTCTAAAAGTTCGTGTTAGACAACACATTGAGAATTGCGTTCAATGTTTAAGTTATTCCATTACGGCTGGTAAAACAGAAGGGGAGATGGAAATCTTCGACAAAAGTACTGCGCCAATGTACACTTTACATATTGATCATTTCGGACCACTTGAAGAAACGATAGACAAATTCAAATATGTATTAGTTGCCGTAGATGCATATACTAAGTACGTTTGGATATATCCTTGTAAATCGACGAATGCGGACGAAGCTATAGAATGTTTATCGTTGCTTTTTAACCTATTTGGTTCTCCCGAAAAACTGATTAGCGATAGAGGAACAGCGTTTACCTCTAAGAATTTTGAAAACTTTATCAAAGAAAAAGGAATTAGACACATTATGACGGCGGTAGCCTCGCCTTGGGCAAATGGACAAGTAGAGCGCGTAAACAAATTTCTTAAATCTACCCTATCAAAATTAGCGGAAGAACCGTCGAAATGGAAAAATGCATTAGGAAAAGCGCAATACGTACTAAATAACACATTACATAAATCTATTAATACAACTCCTAGTAAATTATTACTCGGGTACGACCAAAAGAATAAAAGCGATAAAGAGTTGCGTAAATTGATTGACGAGTTAACCGAAATTGACCGCAACCTCGATCAAGAACGAAATAAATTAAGAGATGCGGCTCAGCTAGCCAACAAAGCGATACAGGAATACAATAAAAGTAAATACGACCAGCGGCATAAGAAGTCCACCAAATATGCAGTAGGGGACCTTGTTTTGATCAAAGTCTTGCAGCATAAACCAGGAACAAATCAAAAATTGTTACCGAAATACAAGGGGCCATACCAGATCAAAAAAATATTAAATAAGAATCGGTTTGTGGTTACTGATGTTCCGGGGTACAATTTAACTCAAAAACCATATAATACAATTTTGTCCGCTGACAAAATTAAACCCTGGATACGTGTAGCGCCAAATATTGCCCCAGAGAACGAAAATCAAGATGAATAATGTTATAAGAAAAATTAGTTCATAAGAAAATATACTGTCATAGATAGATATAAGTGCTAAGAATAAGTTGTTTATATTAAGTTATAGTTTTTTTTGGTAAATAAATTTACTTAAGCTAATGTTAGTTCGGGACGAACTAACGGGTCAGAATGGCCGAAGCTGTACGCGCCTGAAATAGAAGAGAATTATAAATGCCGATAAGTTAGGAAATCGGAGCTATTTAGTATAATTGAACAGAGTCGCGCTGATATCGAAAAACGTACAGTGGGGAATAGGATGAGTGAGTGGAGAGCGAAAGCGGAGCAGAGCGAGTTGAGAGCGAAAGCGGAGCAGTGCGTGATACTCAAATAACAGAGTGACATCAAATGATATGTACATAACGTTTTAATGATTTTTTAATAAACAAACACAATTTCTACAGATTAACAATTGTTTTGTTTTTGTACAGAAGATTATGTAAAACAGAGATAGAAGATTTTAGTTTTTGAAGGACTATATAGGCAAAAAATGATTAAAAAATTATATTTTTTT